ATCCATTCATGTGACGATATCCATCAGGTATGCCTCGATCAGAGAAGAGGAATGATACCTGGTGGGTGGTCTCAGGCCTCAGACTAATAAAGTCCCAGAACATATTAGGATCATAAAGAGTGAAGAATTAATACTTTAAAGTAAATACAGCTAGAATAGCTAAATTAATAAGATACTGGCTTTTAAGTACGATTATTAAGCTGACCTTAAGGTGTGTAGATGGATTTCTCTTTTGAGTATGCATAAAGCTAGGAAACTAAACAAATACAAAGAATAACAATAATAACAACAACAAGAACAACATACTAGGATTGTATGCACATGCACTGGGGTAAACAATATCAAGAAATAGTATTAACATACACTGTACATGTATGTAGCAATGCCTGATGTACATGTATATGTACATGCTTATCTTCAGACTCACTAGTATAGGGTCCCTTATAAAGAATAATGGTGAATTATTACCAATAAGATCCCAATTACCATCCTCAGTGTAAAACTTGACAGCAAATCCTCTTGGATCCCTCACTGTATCAGCACTGCCTGACTCACCACCTTCATAAATAACAATTAAAATAAAGCTACATGAACATGTACGTTTATATGGTACTGTACATATTTTGTTGGCAGCTGGTGAGAGTAATATCTGGTAAACTATACTATAGTCAATCAAAACTGATTGGCAAATTTCATATTGGCAATTTTGTGCTACATAAAACATTGAGCAACTTAAACAAAAATGGGTGATTTATGGAAGTTGCAATCACTAATAATAATTCTTAACCATCCTGTATGGTATGACAGAACAACAAATAAAAAGCATTCTAAAATGCTGTATACATGCATGTACATGTACATGTGTATGTATAATTGTACATGCATCAAGTACATTTAAATTTTACAATAAAAATATCAAAGAGTCACGCTTACCCACAGTTGAGAAATGAACAGCAATTGGAGCTCTCTTGCCAACTTTATTGAACACTTTAGCTTTACAATAATTGGTGATGTCATGACTCACTTTAAAATAACCAAACACACCTAAACAGAAAGAGAAGAAGCATAACACTGAAGGAAGCAAAACCAAAACAAAATAGAAGGACAAAAGTAAGAAAAGATAGTATAATGATGCAAGGAAGTGACAAAACAGAAAAAATACTCTAACCCTATTAATAATTGCATGCCACAAATTCAAACCCTTAACCTTTTACCTAATTTCATTAAAGCTAATAACTGTTAATACGCAGCTAACAGATTACTTGGTTACCTCATTTGTAAACATTGTTAAAATTAAAGGACATTAATATACATGTACCCACCACAGCAAAAATTAAACATGAAGGTTGTTAAATTATTTGGGTTTACAATATGTAATATACATGTAAATGTACCTAAAATTGTACTTACATGTGTGTATTTATTACTTACCAGCTCCCTTTGCATGGACTACCCTCTCTGGTATCCTCTCTCTATCAAAGTGAGCCATCTCATCCAAGAACACATAGTCCTGCAACAGTACTGGTCCTTTAGTACCTGCTGTCAGTGTTGCTGTCTTGCAGTCTACAGGATGACCATGACTAGTTGTTAAAATATCCAGACT